AGATGGGAACCACAGAGACAGGGAGATTGAATGGCCTGCCTGAGGTCATGAAGCAAGTCAATTTTAGAGACAGGAGTAATTGTCTCTCCTGGTCCTCAGCCCCATGGCATGATGCTACGTCACTGTGAGTCTGCTCCATGTGAGCTTTGTGAACGGCTGTGAGTACTAAAGAGAGGCCCACACTGCTGTAAATACACACCGGCATTAGGCTATCACAGAACAAAATCCAGATCTCTAAGAGAAAGATTATAGGGTTGTGCTCCCATCTCCTCCTCTTCCTCCTATTTATAACTTACTTTTGAACTTCTATTTCTAGTCTAAAGACTTAAAAGCTTTTGTTTCTTCACTGCAGCTAGTGTTCAAAGGATAAGATTTGCCCAATGGAACAGCATGCCTCTTCGGATCAAATAATGCATTTTTCACACCTCTTGACTCTCACAGTAATGTTATAATAATATGTTACACAAAGTGCTGAAGTTCCAGATAAGATATTGAAGGAACTCAGTTCTTAGTTAGAAATATGTTTCTCTGTAGGTAACAGGAAACCAACTGCCAGAGACTTAAACAATGAACATAACTATTGTTTATTTAATAAAAAGTCTGAAGGTAGACAGTCTCAGGATTGATTTAGTAATATGAAGCTGCCATCCAATACCCAGGCTTCCATGTAGCCACCTTTTCCACAATTATTCTTACCTTGTAGCAATAAGGAGGTTAATATTAATCTCAAAGATGCAAGGGAAAAGACCACTGAACCAAATCAGCATGGCCAAATTAATTAAAGCAAGTTTTTTTATTCATGTACACCAGCTGCCTCCCCCTAAGGCAGAGTTCAAGAGGTCAACATTGGACATGAGCAAGATAAAGACTTTCAGCACTCAGAGGTAGGGGATTTCCAAATAGAGGACTTGGCAGGCAAATAGGTGAGGTTACAGAAGTACTACATAACAAGTTGGTCACAAGAGCCCTTGTGACACAAAGACATGGTGGCAAGGTGGTTATAACAACAGGTAATCATAATAGCCTTTTGAAACAAGACATGGTTGCTGTTTCCTAGAACAGGCAGTACAGAACCATTTGTAGTTAAGGTTACAGGTGAGGTATAGCCCAATCCTTGAGAAAGATATTTAATCATAAACAGGAATGAACCTAGTTTGTCTTTACTGTAAGATGGCTTTCAAGTCCAAGACAAAGGCAGGCTGGGTCATGATTTAATGTGGAGCAGTTATTACATACTTGTTCAGGAAGGAGAGAAGTAGGGAGTAGGTATACCAGAAAATCATTATGAACTCCTTTCTTAGGAATCAGAAAAAAAAATTTCTGTCCCATACACCAGACCTGTATCTTACTTTGCAGGCAAATTTAAAATAATTAATAACAATAAAAATGTCATGACCAGGATTACTTAATGAAGATAGTTTCACATTACCTTATATCATTCCACATATCTTGCTTGTATCCTTTCAGCAAAATAACCTCTAACTTTCCAATCATTCAATAAAATACTAGAAATAAATATAGGAAGCTCACCTGCTTTTCATACTGGCACAATGAAGAGATTCCTGATGTCTGTGTATAATTGGGGCCACAAAACATAATTGAGTTGTCTACCTATAGATCTGAGGAGGCAGAAAATTTCCCTCAGGTGTCCTTAGCTTAGAAAAGACCAAACCATCAGAATTCAACAGAACTCCAAGGGGCAAATATGTATTGCATTATGCAAGGCAGCATTTGAAATGGCACCTCGGAGCCAACAATGTGACAATTTCCAATTGCTACTGCCACTCTGCCTTTTGCATTTTAATACAAGTGTTTTATTTTTCAGCCATGCCCTGAGGCAAGTCAATCAAGAGTGGCACCTGGTTTCAATTTGATAAATAAAATAAATAATATTGTCCACTGTGATATCTTAATGCCAACACATAAAAGGCTCTCTGTGTCCTCACACCTATAATCTCAGACTTACTGAATGGTCTCCACGGTAAAGAGAAGCTGGTTCCAGCTCCTTGTCCTCCACTCTGGTCTCACTGATAATCTCATGATGCAGTCACCAATGGCATATAAGCAAACCTGTATTAAGACATGTAAATGGTGGCAGGTCCCATGCTAAGTACTTTATATTCCTGTCTTAACTTAATGCTCACAGGAGATCTGTGAGGCGGGCAAATAATCCTACCTTGTAGGTTAAGAAATGGAGAGTTAGACACATTGGGTAACTTCAGGAAAACATACCTTAAGTCATTTGTCACAAGGTTGGCTTTGGAATTAGTTCCACAATTAGCACACCTGTGTTAAAGCCCCTCCAGTTCTTATTAATACTCTGTAGAAGAAATCATTCCCTTGCATTCTAACATTCAAAAACAAAGGTACTTCTAATGGAAGAGTATGTTTCAAATTGCATAAGGCTTGCCATAGTGCAGATCCTTAATCATTATTTAATTGAGATGTGTTATTTGTTTGTGAACTTCCTTTTACCCCTAGGTGGCATTACCTTATTAAAATCAAAATGAGTGCCATGGGAAGGCTATCATCAGGAAGCCTTGGGCCCATGTTTGCCATGTGCAGGCAGTATTCCCTCACAAGGCAGGCCTAGTGGTTACAGGCACCAAAATGGAGTCAAACAGTTCATAGCTTAATTGTCTTCTAAGTTTTTATCGTACCGAGAAAAGTCTTGACCTAGCAAGCAAGCTGACAGAAAAAATATGTCTTCTTAAAACCTTCTGACCTTGAAGCACTCATCTCAAAAAATTTTCTCCACCCACAGGCCGATGTGTTTATCCATCATCCTGTGTGTGAAGGAGAATGAGTCTACTGAGACAAGTTTCACTGCAAGAATTATAGATTTGAAAAAAAAAAAAAAGAAAACTACTTGGGTGCGGTTGCAGCCTGTTTGTTGGTTCCAGAGGAATCTGATGGGAAAGCCAGGGAAATGCCACAGAACTAGCATTCCCAGGGCCTCACTGCTTAGTTACATGTCCGTGAGATAGCTGGAATCGAAGGAATAGCTGACATTCATGTCCAAAAAGCATAAAATCTCATAGCAAATATTAACTCAGCTCTACCCAATAATGCTAGCTTATTAAGGTATTTATTTTTGATAAAAATCTGTTATGTCTTCTTCTTCAACTTCAAAAATGAATATAAAAAAAATCATGTCTCCAAGGACCATACACAGACACACACACACACACACACACACACACACACACACACACACACACACACACTCACACCATCCATCCACCCATGAAAAAAAATCTGTGGTAATTTAAGAAGCACTACTTATTCTATTTTTAGTAATAGGATCTCTCACTAGCCCTTGCTTATCTAATTCCAACCTTATGAAAGTGAAAATACCGGTAACAACTATAATCATTTCTCATTATTAGTGGTAGATATGTCTGTAAAGCCATGGTGAGTGCTGAATTATCAAATATTGAACCATTGCACCTAGGAGAAATATAGGACTGGGTTTGTGAGCCCCAGGTCACCATCATTAACCCATGAATGCATAATTTTTCTAATGTGTTTTCTGTAAACAGACACCTAATTTAAAGTGTACTAACCATTTTTTTTCACATGAACTCAAAGCCAGTCATACTTATGTGTTAAAAAGGCTTACTTAACATAATTATTTTTCTAGTAAGTATTTTTTTATTCAAGAATACCAGACATGGAGCTTTAAACTCTGGGGATATTTGAAACAAAACAAAATTATCAATAGAAAGCACAGATATGCAAGAATGTGACTCTAAATAGAACATAGAAAGGACACTGTATTGTTAGGCTGAAGCAAGAAGATGCACTTTGACTTTGTCCAATTTCAGTTGGGAATGTGGGGGAGGCAGAGGGCCCAAATTTCCACTTTTCTTAAATTTGGAGAAGATTTTTAAAGGCTGGAAGCATGAGTTTCAATTGAAAACAACTTTTAGTAAGTAAGCAAATCTGAAAATACACAATTTGTGAACAATGACAGTCAAATACACTTCCTCATATAACTATAATGGCTAAAGGTGGAAGAGACGGTTCAGTGACTAAGAGTATAGTGCAAGGGATGCAAGTTTATATTCTCAGCATCAAAGGTGAAAGGCTCACAACCACCCATAACTTCAACTCCAGAAGGATCTGATACCTCTGGCCTCCAAGGACATTACACTCATATCTCCATACCCAATACACACAGAGAGAGAGAGAGAGAGAGAGAGAGAGAGAGAGAGAGAGAGAGAGAGAGAGAGAGAGAGAGAGAGAGAGGAGAGAGAGAGAGAGAGAGAGAGAGAGAGAGAGAGAGAGAGAGAGAGAGAGAGAGAGAGTCAAACTATCTGTATTTGTTTCCAAAGGTAAAGATCTTTAACATGATCAGGTCTTGGGATAGATTCCTACTAGCAGGTGGAAGGTCTGTAATATCCCTGCTTTGTTTCCGGCATAATTCTTGGCCTGAGAAGGCAGCAAGCAAGCAAGCAATACTTCTGCTGAGATACAGGTACTGATTTGCAAGCGCCCACAAAGGAAAAATCTGCATTACTGCTGTCATGTAGCTCCTGAATGGCTTTTAATCATTTACTTATTCACCAAACTAAAACTGTAGGAAGTTTATGTGATAACAAATAAGATTGTTTCCTCTGGAACCAGTATCAGCTTCATAGGGGGTACACAGGTCAGAGGTCTGTAGCTTGGTCTTGTGCAGGAGTAGGGAACATAGACTTGTGTTTGCTTCTCCTTAAGGCCTCTCAGAGCAGTATTTTCTTCTGGCCAGATCATACTGGGACAAGGGAATGAAGATCAGGCAAATCAATCAATAGCCTCCATTCCCTCAGCTTACTACAAAGCTAAAATGCATAAGAGAGCAAGACGAAACTGTGAAAGTGTATATTCATGTTAATATAGTATTACTGGTGATACCTCAAGTTAATATGTTATTATTGATGATGGGAACAAAGTAGTTTCATTTTCATGTCATCAGCTTCGTGAGACAGTTGTTTCTTTTCCCACGTTTCCCACAGCTTCCCTGAAGAAGCTCCAGGGATGGGTGTTGAGAAGCCTAATGTTCTGAAGACATGCCAGAAGCTGAGCTGTAGGCCCTCTCCTACAGTTTAAGGATTCCAGACCATTATCACAACTAGGAAGCAGAGCATTTATCATGCCTCTGCTAACAGAAGGTAAGCTGAAACTCAATGCTGATACAAAGAATGTATGGTCCTGGAATTGAATTTTTAATGTACAGAATTAAGAAACAACAACACAAGTTCATTTGCAGATAATCTCAGCCTGAACAGCCAGTGTTGAAAGTAATTCACCTCTTCTCCAACCCTCATTGTCAATTGTGGTCGCTTCATCCATCATCCAGTCAGCCTGTGACAGGGAGAGTTTTAAATCATGTCTTGAAGTCAGTTTTTCATCATCCACTTCTTAACCCTAACCATCCAATTCTCAGGAGTTGGAGGCTGCATATTTATGTGCACCCTTACTTACTTTTACCAAGTTCTATGTGAGCCCATCAAACTATCATTAATCTTATTATTCTGATTTAATCATATTAAAGGTGATCCAATGAAGTAATTGTCCTATGTACTCTCATGGTAGCAAAACATTTGTTTTCTATGTTCTTTGTATCAGGAGAGGTATAGTATTTCCCATGTTTGAAAATACTAAATTTGAAGTAGATGTATTTTATATAGTAATTAATTATAAATTTATCATAGTGCTACCAGTGTTTCTTACTGATTTACTAATTTTTTTTGAGACACTGTCTCTTGCTGCTCAGGCTGACTATGCAGGCGAGGATGACCTTGAATAGAATTCTGAGCCTCCTGCCTCCACCTCTAGCATGTCCCCATGGCCATTTCTGGGGGATGAAGGATGCTAGACAAACACTCTACCAACTGAGCTACATCTCCAGTCCTGATTCACTAGTGTTTTATCAATATCCATTATGTGAAATTCAGCATCTACTTCAATATCCTCCCAAACCAACTAAATTATGTGGAACACAATAGTAGCCCATCCTGTGTTTTTCAGCTTTGTTTAGAGTTCTCACACAAACTTACATGAGCTCGCATGATCTAGGGCCTTGATTTTACAGGAATGTGAAGTTAAGGAGAAGTCACAAATGACAGGAGCTACTTTAGGAAATATAATTCATAAATACAAGCATGACCCAGAACAGTAACTAACAGTCTGAGTCCTTCATATCAAGAAAAAATATCAACAATTTATCTGTCAGCAGGTATAAGGTAGGTGTCAGTGTGGCAAATTATCACTCCAAATACTGTTACAGAAAAAGATGACTTGTGAAGATTTTAAAGTAAAAATATCATCATCTTGGCAATCTATGATGAAGACTAATTTTTTGAATAAATATAAAATTAGTCTTGCCTAACAGTGTTGCCTTCAGATATGATTAAAGTCTCTCCCAACACAAGAGGTGAATATGAATGCTTACTTTTTAGAATGACTTCCAGAGAATGTTTATGCAAACATAACCAAAAGAACAATATTTTCACAGGACAAGGTTGGTTGAATTTTTACAGACTCTCTCTCTCTCTCTCTCTCTCTCTCTCTCTCTCTCTCTCTCTCTCTCTCTCTCTGTGTGTGTGTGTGTGTGTGTGTGTGTGTGTGTGTGTGTGTGTGTGTGCTAAAATGTAAGGTAACATGGCAGCTGGGTGGATTTTGAGATTTGGGAAATAGTCTTTCACTTTTAGCAGCTGCACCTGCTTAATATTAAGACATTCTCTAAGGGAGTCAAGATCAATGCCTCATTCAGTCTGTAAACACTGTAGGGAGTCTGCTGGTGTGTAAGAAGGGTGGTATTTATGAACCATCAGACCACATGATGTAATTCAAATGGAAACCACTACATGATGTTTCCTGTGTCCAGCGACCGATGTTGCTTATATCATCTCATAATTCGGTGAAAGAAAGCAATACCAGCTTTAAGTGTTTGCCTCAGGTCAACAGAAGCCAGAAGTCTCTACAGTATACCTCAACTTGGAAAACAAAGTGACTCCTACTGCTACATATGAGAAATCTTGTGGGTTGGAAAGAAAATATAAATTTAAAAAGTGATACGCAATTTGAAGTTAATGGAACTGGAAAGGAAATCCACTCCACATGAACTACACACTAGACAACTCCTCTTCAGTCTTTCATGTTAGGAAGATTTTTCTATCTTCAGGAATCCACTCCGTTAAAGCATATACACTTGGAAGGATTGTAACTGGTGTAAACATGCCTTCATTCTCAGTCATCACACTAGAGCGAATTATTTTATACCAGAGTAAATCCAGTAACAACTTTGTAACCAGGAAACAAACCAGTGCTTTCAGATAAGGAAAGAAGGAACAACACTTGGACCACTCACTACTAGTTTCACGAAGGGCCTGCCTGCTATATGCAGTTCCTTCCCCCTGCTATTTTGTTACAGTATGCATGAGCTACATAAACCTACCAAATCATAAAGGGAAAAGAGTCAGAGTCATGTTTTGGAGGTTCTGATGTACACAACTCCCAATGTCCCCAGAAAAAAATCCCTGGTGTTATTTTTCACATGCTTATATCTATTGTTTCATTGATTGCAAATGACTTTGAATATGGACTCTTCGATGTGTTACCCAAGTATTTTTCTCCTACATAAAACATGAAATTGTCAAGCTTTGAGGGCTATACAGTCGACTGCAGCCAGCAGAAGTCATTGATTCCTGCATTTATTTCTTCCAGATTTCAAATCTATTTTTCATGCTGCTTGTCACATTGGGTTGACATGTGTCACAAGATGCTGCTACATGCTGAAGCGATGCATAACCATCACAAACTTTTGAAAGAATAATACATTTTAAATGTTTTTCCATTTACTTTGAGGTGCACAGGCAAATGTTAAGTATTAACATTTATGGGAGTAATATACATTAATTATATCTCAATTAGACTAAGAAAAGGTAATAACAAAAAATCAAAGAAAGAGAGATTCCTGATTCATTTTTTGCAGACTTTAAATACATTAAGCTAACAATTTTCATTTTAAAATGGCATTGAGAAGTTAGCAGATAATAACCTTTCAACCTTTGTCTTGTTATCATGGATTCTTACATTTCTGTCCCTGGGATTCTCATTTAATTGTGGTACTGATTTTCTCGGAGCTATCTGGAGATCCTTTCGTTTACAAAGGATCAATTTTTCTCATCTTTTATATCTTGCTTCTTCTCTAAAAATTGTTATGAGCTACAGGAAATGAGGACTATAAGAGGAAAGGAAATCACTTTAATCCAATAATATAACATTTATCCAAGTTCCCCTGTAGTCACACACACACACACACACACACACACACACAGACACACACACACATGTATACACATACAATGAAACTGAATTCATGCTTAGCTGCCACACCAATCTTGTATATATGTTCCACTTATAGATGGAGCAGTAATGCTGAATTATGTTGATACAGTAATATTGGTACAAGGCAAGTGGCAGAGCTTGCTATAACCTGGTGACCCATTGTCTAAGAAAGAAATCCAGGTAGACTTCAGGTCAAGAGAATATAGCAACAATAATTATAGAATGAAAAATCATAAATTCAAGAGGGATCAGAGGAGATATGGGAGGAGGAGGAAGAGGGAGGGATAGAACTGATACAAATACAGTATACATATGAAAGTCTCAAACTTTTAAAAAATAAAGACTCATCATGGTATAACAGTCCTTTCCATCTCAGCATGTCTGCAGCACACACATATATACACACACACACACACACACACACACACACACACACACACACACTTCACAGTCCCAATTTGCATTGCGTATGCATGGGTATTGAGAGAAGGCCTTGCTAAAGCACAGGCTGACCTTGAACTACAACCCTCCTTCCTTGACCCTCATTTCTCACAAACCCTCAGGTGGTTACTGAAGCTGCTAATACAGAGACCACAGACCCGCACTGTTGCGACACCTAGCTTTCTGGTGCCACTTGCAGCAACTCCTGGGACCTGCTGTTACTACTGCTGCCCAATTATAACTTATTAGGTTGGCTTACAGGCAATTACCAATGTTTGTAGTGTAGACTTATCAAAAACAACAATCCCATATATGTCAACCCACATCTTTAGGTTAGGACTGGGAACTTGCTCAGGTTGTCACTCCTCACTTGCTTCCCCAATCCCAGTTCCTTCCTACCTTAACTTGGCTCCCTCTCATGCCGCCTTTAGGGGTCTGCTTCTTTGCCTCTTTCTTAAAATACATCTTATTGAAGTAGAAAAAGAAGAAGGTTGGGTATGTCTTCTTCCTAAGCAGAAAAAAAATGCATAAAATCCAGTTTTTGTAGTTCACTCTTATAGTTACCTATAGTCACAACTGTCTGGATGAGTGCATGGAATCCCACATCTGCTTTGTTTACTATTATGTTTCTGACAAAAGGCACCACTCTAGAATATTTGCACACACCAGAGACTTCTTTTTCACAGTAATTAAAGCTGGGTTTTATGGCATTTGCCTTTCTTGTCATCCAGATAGGCAACCACAGATAATGCTGCAAACCTGTTATTCTCTAAATTGGATCATGTCTCCAACTCCTATATGTTCCACCTACAACTAGTTTTATATAGGGGCAATAGCTTCTATTCTAGTCCCAAGGAAAGCTCTATTTCTGCATTATTAGTCACCAGTTCAATTTCAGGTGCTGCCTTTCTTTAATCTGATTCTTATCAATAAGGTTTAAATATCTATCCTGACACTTGGGTGCTTCAGAAAAAGAGCCTCATAGATGCCATTATAAACCCAGGTGTTACCCTCAATGAAATCCAAGCTGGAATCCCTTGAAGGGGACAAAACTTTCCTAACTCAGCAAAAAAAACCATGGGTGATTTTCAAGAAAGCATTTCTTTTTCTTTCTTTTTTTTATATATATTTGTGTGTGTGTGTGTGTGTGTGTGTGTGTGTGTTCATATAGATCCAATTCAGGGTTTCCTACATATTAGACATTCAAAAACCATTTGTAATCCAGGCATGGTGATTTATACCTGAATTTTCAGCACTTGGGGAGGCTGAGGCAAGAGGATCAGGAGTTCAAAGCTGGCCTGGTTCATAACCAACCAACAACAACAACAAAAATTTCAAATACATTCTCTGTCGATCAACAATAGCATAAACATGTTGGCTTATATGTTGAGATGGAGTCTCATGTAGACTTTAATAACACTCACGTCCATAATAACATCCATAGACCACTCTTGCTATGTAGCAGAATCTGGCCTTGAATTCTTGATCCGCCTGCCTCAGTGTCCCCAAATTCTAGAATTGTAGCATTGCCACAAGCCCAGCCCTGTCTAATTTAACACTCTCTTTCCTTACCAATGGAGATTGCCATATGAATATTAAAATTACACTGTGTAGACAGAAAAAAAACAAATGTTTCCTTAAGAAAACATACTGTGGTTGGTATGTAAAATGAATAAAATTTCTTAATAAAGAAAAAAATTTTTAAAAAGTGGGAGCACACTTATTTTCCAAAATAAACTAGTTTGGTATCCAACACCCATGTCTGGTATCTGATAACTCCCTGTAACTCTTGCTCAAGGGGGTTCAAAACCCTTTCCTGGCGTCCTTGAGCACTACACTCACATACAAATAATTAAAAATGAAATTTATATTAAAGATAAACTGCCTAGGCATGGTAGCATATACTTTAAATCCCAGTACTCAGGAGGCAGTGGCAGGTGGATCCCCGTGAGTTCAAGGCTAGCCTGGTCTACAGAGTGAGTTTAAGGGCAGGCAGGGCTACACAGTAAGACTTTGTTTCAAGAAAAAATTAAAAATGACATTATTAACCTAGGGAAATTCTACTATGCATTCTGTGTAATATCGAAATTTATCTTCATAAATATCAAGTGTTAGGCTCTAGACTTGGGTAATGAGAAGACAAAGACAGCGCTCTCCACAGTCTAGTACCTACACATGCTCCATCTAGTAGGAAGCAAAAAATAGATAAATAAGAACAATAAGTATGCTTAAGTAGTAACAGCCATGATTCACCAGTCCCCTTCTAGAAATATTTCTGTCCCCACATCTGGTGAGAACACAGACTACTCCCATTCCTGTGTAAACCATAGACATGGAGGGAATCCACAGGGTCAAATTTCTACAAGACACCAAAGCATCCCACACATTCACAGTCCCCACAAATCTCCCAGCACATCAGTTTGCTTCTTTGTCACATGACACAGCTTCTGTTATATTTGACATGAGAGTTGAGGGTTTTGTTTGCTATCATTTGCTATTTTGTTGTTTTAAAGTCTGAAAAGATGCAGCACAGGGGACCCAGCCTGTGGAGATCAGTGCTCATGATCATTTTTCCATGCTTCTGCATTCTAAAGGTCCCTGCTAAATTCCTGGCTATCCAGCCACAAGTCCTTCTCACTATCCAAAAAAAAAAAAAAAGAAAAAAAAAATTAAAATTTAAAAACCTTCCAAACGGTGGGGAATAAAAACAAAATGATCAAAGTCAGTAGACTGCCTAGAAAAGAGAATTACAAATGAATACTGTGGTGTGATATTTAAAAAATGAAGTGGCATTTACTGCCTTAAATTTATAAACTGTAGCAGCAGAGTGGGGCCAGAGCCTGACAGTGCTCTTGAGGAAACAAGACAGAGAGTCATCTGGGACAAGGGTATCCAGAGAGTAGAGTGGAGAACTGGAAAGGAAAGAGATGGATGTAGAGAGAGGATCCTATGATCTGGCTTCACCCAGCTTAGGAGTGTGAGAAAAATATGGGAAGCTAGGGAAAGAATTGCCTAAGCAGAGATAAGGAACAATCTCTGTGGCTTCTGAAAGATTAGGAATGGTCTTTATTCTCCTCACCAGCCACAGCTATTAACCCCTCCAATTCACAAGGTACCAATCAGCATACTCAGAGTTAACTGCAGTGTGCCTCCTTAGTAGGAAACAATCTAGACAATAGTAACCACATACATCTGGTTCTACCTAACATACCTGTAAAGTATGATTTGGAAAGATGAAAAGCTTAACTTATCCCAGACCGGCACCCACAATGTCAGATTCAGTTTTCATTGTTATCTATGTTAGTTAGTTCCTGGTTTTGGCTTTGGTTTTGGTTTTTAATCCTGACACAAGCTAGAGTCATCTGGGAACAAGGAACCTCAGTTGAGAAAACACCTCCACCACATTGCCTGTAAGCACGTCTGTGGCGAGGCATTTTTTTGATTTTTGATTGATGTGGCAGGCCCCAGCCCATGTGGACAGTGCCATCCCTGGGCAGGTAGTTCTGAACCACATAAGAAAGCTGAGAAAGCCATGGAGTGTAAGCCAGTAGGCAGCATTTCTCCATGGTCTCTGCTTTAGTTCTTGCACACCCCCCCCACCCCCTAAGCGCCCCACCCCACCCCCACTGCTTCCTTGAGTTCCTGCCCTGCCTTCCCTGATGACCTAGTGATAGACTGTGACCAGAAAGCTGTAACATGAATAAATCTTCTCCTTCCCAAGTTGTTTTTGGTAGTGGTATTTATCACAGCAATAGAAAGAAAAGTAAGACAATATTCAAGAGTATTCAATGACATGTGAAAAGACTTGTAAAAATATACTAGGGAAATATAAGTCATAAATAAGAGAAAATAAATTAATAGATGGTAAAACATATAGACAGTCAATCAGTCCTTGAACCGTTTTTTTTTTTTTTTTTTGGTTTTTCGAGACAGGGTTTCTCTGTGTAGCTTTGCGCCTTTCCTGGAACTCACTTGGTAGCCCAAGCTGGCCTCGAACTCACAGAGATCCGCCTGGCTCTGCCTCCCGAGTGCTGGGATTAAAGGCGTGAGCCACCACCCGCCCGGCCCTTGAACCGTTTTTAAATTACTATGCTGCTATACTGTGTATGTTCTAGGAAGGAGAAGGACAGTTGAGCACACCAAGCTGTACAGTCAAATCAAATTTCTAATAATAAAACTAGAGTGTCTGAAATAAAAAAGAAATACACTGTGGTTATCAGCAGATTAAGGGCTACCAAAGAAAAAAATTAACTAACATAAAAGTATGGTGACAGAAACTATACACAATGGAATGCAGATAAAATTAAACAGACTATTGGAAATAAAAAAGTTTTATGCAGGCAGTGAGAAAATGTTGGGCGATCCACTGTGTATTCAGGGAGAAAAAAAAAAAGAATAAAAGCGGGAAAACATCTGAGTATAAATAACCAAATACTTCCTTAATTTTATGAAAGTTACTAATCTGCCTATACAAAACAAGCTAAGCAGTAACCCTTGAAAGAATAATATAATCTAATTGCTTAAAAAAGACAAACAAAGCCGGGCGGTGGTGGCGCACGCCTTTAATCCCAGCACTCGGGAGGCAGAGCCAGGCGGATCTCTGTGAGTTCGAGGCCAGCCTGGACTACCAAGTGAGTTCCAGGAAAGGCGCAAAGCTACACAGAGAAACCCTGTCTCGAAAAAAACCAAAAAAAAAAAAAAAAAAAAAGACAAACAAAAATATTTTAGGCACCCATTCTGCACAGCTTTAAAAAAAAAAAAGAAAGAGTCGGACGGTGGTGGCGCACACCTTTAATCCCAGCACTCAGGAGGCAGAGCCAGGTGGATCTCTGTGAGTTCGAGGCCAGCCTGGTCTACAGAGCAAGTTCCAGGACAAGCTCCAAAGCTACACAAAACTAAACCCTGTCTTGAAAAAGAATGACAGTATATTTCCTATTGAAATGATAAAAAAAAAAACCCAAAATGGATCAATATTTATTCAGTCCTAGAAAAAATATCATCCCAGACATTTAAATGTGGCCAAATTAATTTTCAAAACTGAAGGGAAATCATAACATTTCAGACATTAAAATGTTTAAAGACTTTGCCGCCAGTCAATCCCCCACAGCAAGTAATATCAGAGATCTGAAGAAAATAATACTGACTGAAATATGGACTACACAAAGGAATGAAGAACAGTAGAAATTAGACAAACCCTTTGGATCATGAAACAGATGTTCAAACTTAAGCAACACAATCATAGATGATAGTGTTAGCCAAGTTCCCAAGTGAAAGAAATGTTTGTGAAGGAGTTGGTTAGGGCCAGTTTTGGGATTCCTGCAGACTCAGCTATGCAAGATGTCAAAAGTGAGCAAAGACTGAAGAGGATTGATTTTTCTCTAACTTTGGGAGCAAAAGGAAGTCTTACAGTAGATTCTCACCACTTTTCTTCTTAGTCTTGTGCCTGAGGGAGCGTGAGGAGAATTTGTGTTTGCAGCTCTGTGGGATTTGTCCCTCACTCATATCTGAAAATTTGTACCTTGAGGAGAAGAAGAGAATGAGCATCCAAGTTTCTAAGACGAAACAGTCTATGAACACTTCTTGGGGTAAGTCCTGGCTCTGAAAAGAGGGGTTGGCTGTGGATGTTGTCCAACAGAACCACCAAAAGAGTTGGTGAAACTGTGTAGCAAGTACATGGAAGCGAAAGACATTTCCAGAAAAGGTATTGCACACAGATCTTTAGGGGACAGTCTCTTAATGTGCATATTAACTACCCATAACTTGAAAGCTAAGGAAAATGTAGCAAGAGTAAGACATTCTGAACCTGGTCCCCAGAAATCCACAAAGATACCTCCACAATACAATTCTGGCAATGGTTGAGAGAAAACCCAAACTGACCTACTCTGGTGATCGGATGACCAAACATCGTAATTGTCGTGCTAGAAACTTCATCTAATGACTAATGGAAGCAGATGCAGAGATCCATGGCCAGGCCCCAGGTAGAGCTCTGGGAGTCCAATCAGCGAGGAAGAGGAGGGATTATATGAGTCGTTGAGACCATGATTGGATAAAGCACAGGGACAAATAGCCAAACTAGTAGAAACACATGAACTGTGAACTAATAGCTGAGGAGCCCCCAACTGGATCAGGCCCTCTGAATAAGTGAGACAGTTGATTAGCTTGAACTGTTTGGGAGGCCCCCAGGCAGTGGGACGGGACCTATCCTTAGTGCATGAGCTGGCTGTTTGGAGCCTGGGGCCTATGCAGGGACACTTTGCTCAGCCTGGGTGAAGGGAGGAGGGGATTGGACCTGCCTTGACTGAATCTACCAGGTTGAGCTGAATCCCCAGGGGAGTCCTTGCCCTGGAGGAGATGGGAATGGGGCGTGGATTCGGGGGAGGGTGGGAGGAGGGAGGACAGGGGAATCCGTGGCTGATATATAAAATTAAATTAAATTATAAAATAAAAAAATAGAAAAAAAAATCCAAAATCAAATGCATATGGAATCTAAGCTGAGATACCAACCATCCCCGGAGTATTGCATGGCTTCACTTTTGTCATGGTTCTGAACACACAGAACCATGTGTTCTTTTCACTGTGTGTGCCCTTAAGGTACCTAACACTAAGGAACACTGCCTGAAGCATCTCAGAGAAGATCCAAGAGTACTGCACATTGTGAGTCACAGTATTTTACTGGACACACAAAGTTTTCTGTTCTTATAAAAAAATGATCATTTAATTAGAGAAAGCAAAGATTTTGCAAATATTTTTCTGCTATCATTTATCAGCACGCAAATATGAAAATAGTGTGTCTATGAATGGTAAACCTCCTTCTGCCATTTTATACTATATATTTATTAACATTGACAGTTATAAAATAGAAATGTAGATCAATTTGTAAGAATATTGAAGATGTTTTACATACTGCAGCATCAAATGTTCAGCCAGGGTTAATTCTTCATGTAAAAATAAACAACCACATTCTTTCATTAGGGTGCACATTCGTTTTCCTCCTTAGTAAGTAGCAAAATTATCGACATCATAGAATTGTTAAAATAAATTTCTTGATTTGCTAGTAGTAAATGTTTGTTTGTGCTCTTATTTTACACAGCTATATATATACAAGGGGTCATGTAAAACCTTTCACATGGAAAGCAGCCACCAGTGGGAAACATCTGCCCACATATGAGAATTACAGGAAATGTGGGAAGTCTTGAAAATGCCCTGAGAATTGTCTTTAGTATTTGTGAAACTCAAAGCTCATAGTCATTCAGCCAATAATTGTCTTCACTTTCATTAGCTTTCTCTACTGAGAAACAAAGCAGTGTTTTCAAAGCAGGAGAGGACCCTATATGAGAGAGAAATGAAAATCAGCTACTTCCTAGGAAGCAAAAAGTCAGCAGTGAGGGGTTCTAATGGCTAACTATGTGTGGTGGTTTGGATAAGAACGGCCCCTTAGAGGCTTTTATGTTTGAATACTTGTCCCAAGTTGGTGAACGTGTTTGGAAAGGAGATGTGGCCTTGTTGGAGGATATATGTCACTGGGAGTGGGCTTTGATGTTTCAACAGCCCATGCTATTCCCAATTAGTGTACCCTTGTCTCCCACCTCATGCTTGTGGATCAAAATGTAAGCTCTCAGTCAAATGCCTGCCTGCCTACTGCCATGTTCTCACCATGATGGTGATAAACTCTCTGTAGCCACGAGCCCTACATTAAACATTTTCTTTGATAAGTAGCCTTGGTCATGGTGTTTTGTCCTGGCAATAGAATAAATAGTAACTAAGACATTAGGTGTAAGGAAAAGAAGAGGCTAACTGGAAAGTAGCTATAAACCAATGTAATGATACAATTATATTACAGAAAGACCCACAAAACCAGAGGGAATCATCAACCAGGATGGCTCTTACTTATCCTTGACTTCATTGTGACATCATCAGCCTTATAAAATGTCCTTCTCCCATCATGCATCTGACAGCATACCACATCCAGAAACCCTTATAGAACAGAGAAAAGGGTAGTAAGCACCGCATGGGGACAACCCTGACCCCTTGCTGGGACCCCTCATCTTCCTCTCACCTCATGACTCCCACTAGAAATCACAACTTAGCCTCCTTTCTGCTAAAGCTTGTACACCCGAACCCTAGCGCGGGGCTTCTGAGAAGCCTGCACTCAGTCCTTGAGTGCGAACCTTTGCTATATACTGAAGTTTCTCCCAACTGCTTATTTTGTTTCATCTCTGAATTTTCTTTAATGGAAGGAAGAATGTATAAATACTGGTTAGAGGTCTCAGTCAGCTCAAGTAATAAAAATGTGTGAAGGAGTCCTATGCGGTGTAAATGCTTTTTATCCCAGCACTCAGGAATCTGAGGCAGGGAGATCAAGAGTTCAAGATTAGCCTGGACTACAGAGGGAAATCTTGTCTCAAAAAAAAGGAAGAAGTAGCAGATAATTCTTCAGATAGAGTGTGTTGAATTATCCATTATAGGAGTAGACACCTGGCTTCAAATGCAAAGCTATTAAAAAGAAAGGCATACGTTACATCATTTTTTTAGAAAGCCCTTTTGAAATCTGTTGAATCATGAAGCATTAAACATGTCTATTTGTAGATGTATGGTCAGATTTTTAAGGGAACACACAAAGAAATGGTATTTCTTCTGGAGAAAAGTATCCAACACTAAGGAAAGGAAAACTGTTTGCTTCTGTACTTCTGCTATCTGAATCTTACTTTTTCTCTTACTGGCTATATTGTGGCAATCACTGGGGGTCACTGCCCATTAGCCATTCACCTTTTTTATTAGGAAGCCCTGATTTTGCTCAGAGCAACAGTGTGCTCAGCCTAAGTAAAAGATTGCATGTGATCAACATTAGTAATAAAAAAATTGACCCCTAATTTCTTGCCCACTCCTCCCCCAAAAGAGAATAGTGCAATGCATATATTAAACAGTAAGCAGGACTCAAAAGGAGCTCACGACTGCCTGACTTCTTCTCCCTTCCATAAATGCAGACTGACGGCGGTGCTGGAGCAAATCTGAAAGAGCTAAGAGACTTTGATGATGACATTTTAGAGACAGTAAATCAAAGCCAGGACCTTGACCTCTCGTTATGTAAGATCTCAAGTGTATGACAAAAGGCAGCATCAGCAGCACCTCACCCGAGACCTGCATCCAATCAGAATATTGACAAGATCCCCTGGGGATTTATACACACATTGTAGTGTGAGAATCACTGCTGTGCAAACAAAAAAAAATGACCTCTAACTGCCTGAGTTGCTGTCAAGTATTATAGTAACTGAATCTGAAGACACTCAAAAACATTGATATTTTCATTGTAGCCTCAGTTTTAAAAAAGAAATCTACCTAAAATATAAGATGTGGTGTGATAATAAAAAATGTTTACATGAATTTTAAAAATCACTGAGAGGCCGTTTGTTTTTATTGCATTTACAGAGCAACAAATAGCTAATGGTGTAAAAAATGTTTCTGAAGATATTCCTCAAGGATTTCAAAAATTGTATACAATTATCACAGATGTCAGTTCCTCCCATGGTCCAGCTGAATAAAGACTTGACTTGACTGCAAAAGGTTCCAGTGGTGACTTAGCATAGCTACAGACAGAATATAAAAATAAACTCATGTTAAACAGCCAAGCTTTAAAAGTTTTCACAAATTGTTCTTCATTCTAAAGCAGAACTGTCGATCTAGTTACTAAACTAATTGTATCAATCAAAGCAGATTCTTTTATGTTCTGGTTTTTTGTTTTTTTTTTCTTCTGTTGTTGGTTTGGTTTGGTTTGGTTTGGTTTTTGCTGGTGTTTAAACACTAGATGCTGACTGAAATCACCTGCACTTGGTACAAACAAGCTCCCACCACCAGCATTTTCCTTTTCTGCTTGCAGCTCAATTGAACTGCTTATGTGCCCTGGCTCTGCTATAAAAAAAAAAAAAAAAAAAAAAAAAAAAAAAAAAAAAAAAAAAGTTGGGCTTGAATCCCTGGAATGACTTCCCTGCTATAGGATTGTCAGCTACAGAGGTCTGTAAAATTGTCCTTCCTTGAAGTCTCGGTTGTCAAGAGCTTTGCACTAACAAAATTTCACAGGATAAGAAGGGGAAGCAGAAAAAGGTGACAGAATCAATCAGTTTCATGGTCGTATTCTAAACATGCTTGCAGAATGAAAAATGTGCCTAGCTGATAAACCAAAAAGTTATGCAGCATATTCCATAAATATATTTTGTTAAATACGCATGTAAAGTTGTAGTGAAATGATGCACCAGAAAATAACGTACATGCACATTTCCACCACATAGGGCCCAGTACCACTGACAGCGAGACTTCCTACCTACTCTTCCTAGGAAGAAGGGAAGGGTGTTACAATAACTTCATCTTTGTTTTTTATTTTTATACTTCAATAGTAGAATGATTGCAAAACAATGTGATAATTTCATCAAGCTGGCTGTGCATTCCCAGAAATGTATTGTTCTTTCTTTGGGGGGCTACTCTTCAATAGACAAAGTCTGCTAGCCAGTCTCCATGTTGGAGCACTCTACATTTCCAAAAGTCTTTTTACTTGCCCAGCCTCTTTGACCTACTTGA